AAAAAAAAAAAAAAAAAAAAAAAAAAAAAAAAAAAATACTTTATAATTTTACAAACCTAACAATATATAATATCTTCTATTACCAAGTGAATAATAGAATTGTTACTAGTTACATAATTCATGAATAATTGCGACTTTTATATACACGATGAAAAAAATTTAACAAAATAAAGTAAATGAAATTAATATGCAAAGTTCGGTTACTTTTGTCGTGATTTCATAGATAGCCATAACTGGGCGTTAAGAGAATTGCCAACACGATTTGAAACACGCGCCGAATTAATATCATTGAGTGAAGTTACGTTATTATTTTTCACGCTTTTAAACCTATCGGCTGAATAAGAATTTATTCTATATATTCTATGAAATACCAAAAATCTCAAGAAACTATTACTTTCAAGAGTTACAGCACAGATATTTTTATTCTAATACTTTTACAAATCATCAGTCGCGCATCACAAATCACTCGAAGAATACAACGCGCACGCACACTTTTCACACTGGAACGGAGAACAGATTAAACTATATAAAACTGATCACTTCTACCAGAATTCTTAAGGTAGCGTAAATAATTAATACAGTATAAATGAAAAACAAACCAAATTGAATTCCACGGAATTTTAAGCAATTATTTTCACATATCTTTTAAGCGTTCGAGCCTTCGTTCTCCGTACGCTACAGCTACGTCCTCATAGGCTCTAACTGTAGTAGCGACGGCGCAACAGGCCGTTCGCTATTGGTTAATCGCTATTAAACTAAAGAACAAGTTCACAACTTTGACCAATCGTAACGTTCTCAGTGCACTATTAACCGCATAGGATGTACAGATTTTTCCCGACAGCGAGTAATTTTGAAATCATTCAAGGATCATGCTCAGTCGATCGATACACATGACATATAAAAAATGTTTTAATCTAATCTAATGTATTGATAATATATTTTTATTGTTTTACTCTTTAATGAATTTCCCGCGCAAATATTGTTGAAAAAAAAGTACAAGTAATATACATGTTGCTGATCAATGCGAACTAAACTAACATTTTTTTTAAAAAACCAAGTCACATATTTATTGTTATTTAACAGACAATTATATTGAATTTTGAAAATTTAAATTTACTAATATATTAATAATTTAACAAAAATGTGCAATATGAAACGTATTTGATTTAGATTTGTTTCAAGTATAGATATATATTAAATTTTATTATTTTATTTTTATAGTTCTTGCTTTTAACCAATGGCGGCTAGTATTCAAGTGACGTCGTATTGTTATCGTATTTGGATTGGTTAAACGAGCAATACGTGTAATCGGGAAAAGGATTCTGTCTTTGAAACAGCAATTTTGACGAACTGTTGATAAAATTATTAAGTTTAACGATCAATATTTTCTATTGTGCTATATATATAAATATTATTTGTATTGATTAATAGAAAATTCTAATTGATAAATCCAGTTTACATATTAAACAAATGCTTAAGTTTCTATTTCGATATACTTCTACATTAACCTCTAAAATATGAGTTTATATTTTTAATGCTCGATATATTCGCTCGAATTATCGCTTCACATAAAATATAAATTTATAATTATTATCAGATTATAATTATAGTATTTGAATATCATAAATTTATATTCGAAAGGGATAAAAATCAGTAATAAACAATTTTTACTATAAATTTTATTAAAATTTTAAATAATTTATAAACTTTTGATATAAATTAATAATAACGATAACAATACGACATAACTATAATTTACAAATATTTTTTAAATTTATAAAAGATACTATAAACTAGATGATCCTAAATAAAAACAAATTTTTAATTATAAATTATAAATATATAAGTTATTTTATAAAAAACAACAATAAAATATAATTTAATAAAATATAAAATATTTAATGTATCAAGGTTATTAAAAAGCTTTCAAAGCTAGGAAAAAAATATTTAATTCATTATATTTACTTTACTAGTATTAATTGATCGTTATGAATATGTAGATACAATCATTATCAAAGCACCAAAGTCACAATATTTTAAGTATGTTTCTATATGAAATAAATTGAAAAAGAATATAAATAAAGATTATTGTGAAAATTATATTAATATGTACTGAAAAGTTTGTACATGTTACATTCATTCATAAATACTTTACAACTTTTTTCAAGTACACTAATGCAAGAAGTTACGGAAAGCTTTATAGGTATACTTACTAGGATAAGTGAATGTTGGTCTAACGAATTATGAGCGGTAATTTTAAGGATATAATCTATTAAACAATAATCGTGAAAAAAAATTACCTGACTAACAAACATCTGAATATTTAATGATAGCACTGTTATATTTTACACGCGAACAACACATTGTAAACATAAGAAATTATATGATAATAAACTCACGTTTTAAAGTTGTCAGTCGCCATCATATGCGAAGAGACGGTATCATTCTAAATGCGCATGCGCATCGACCCATGTTGCTTCTGCTGTAAAAAGACTCATTCACATTGGTACGTATAAAATAAAATAAGATAAAAATGCTTAACTACTTTAGAAATATGCATTTAATAACATATAATGAAAATTTTTGTTTATCGGTTATATATTGTTATTACTATTTTTCAAATATACTAGTAAAATTACTTCATAGATATAATTTTTACAAAAAAAATATAATTCACATGTAACATATTTAATATAAAAATCAAATGATAATTTAATATAATTATCAAATGATAATGATTATTTTTTATTTATTTTGGTATAAAAATCATAATAAAAATTGATATTCTTTTTCAATTTTAAAAAATAATTTAAAAAAATTAAATTTTTCATTAATTATTATTAATTAATCAAATCATAAAAAATAATTTATTTTCTTGATCATATACGATTAAAATTAAATGTTATGTTTTTCAATATTAAAATAAAAAAAAATAATAATATATAACAAATTTAATAGAATTATTATATATATTGAAATATTTATTTTATATTTCGCAGTGATATTTTCATAATGCAATAATGAATAATTTCTATGCGATGTGTATACATATTATATGATTACTTGCTACAATAAATTCTTTATTAATTTATTTGACATGTATAATTGATATGCAAAAACATTAATTACAAATTATTTAAATTAAGCTTTGAAATTATTTGATTATAAATAAATAAATATATATAAATATAAATATATATAAATATATATATATATATATATACTTATGTATATATTTTTGAGTAACATAATATATATATATATATATATTTAGATTTGAGAAACATATGTCAAAACATACATATGTAAATACGCTTGCGCTCGATTTTGTTGGCCAGTGCTGTCGAAGCTAAGCTCCGGAGCTTTGAGAGTCTTTTTCCATTTCAGCTTCGTTACCATGGTACAGAGACGCTAACCAATGTTATACTACACCCGCGCACACAATACAAATACTTCCCGCGAATTGTTTTCTGTTTTAAAAGCAAGTTAGAAGAAGAGAGAAATAACATCAGAAATGTCGCTCTCTCTCTCTAAATCCTCTTTGTCTTGTAGGAAGGATGGCAAAAGAAGGGATGGTTGTCACGTAAGGGGCTCCATCCGTGGGGACAGCACTGTCGTATGCTTCGAAAAGGCCGATTAATACGCATACGCGTTTCAAAGGAAAAGGTAAAAAAGAAATAGAAAAATACTTTGTGATTGAGAAAAAAAAATTCCAAAAAATAAATAAAAAACAAGATGATGATCATAATAAATCAGGTTTTTCTCTGTGAAATTTGTTATGTGTCATTTAACTTGCCGTAAAAAGATCGGTGACGGACAATGGCGTAGAGACAATTCTCGTGTTTTGTGCTATCAGCTGATGGACTTGATGGACCCTTGTATACTTATCAAAACAGAAGACATCATAGCAGTAAATCCCGTCTCTTGTTGCAAAATGTCATGTTACGATGCGTGATATTGTGTGCATTATAATAAACTAACTCGAAGCTGAAAGTTTTTTTCCGACTTAACATCGACTCCATTATTCACTGTCATTGAGCATAGTGTTTTCATCTGGTAAGGGAACGTTTTAACGAGAACGCTGCAAAAAATTCCATACAAATTTCTTTAAAACTTTTAATGCTTATGTACATACAAATATTTAATTCAAGATTAATTTATTTTACGAGTTTATTGCAAAAATATTTAAATATACATACTTTATCCAATTTTGTATGTGATACGCACTTTGACGTATATGATCATATTATGTTATATTTTGACGTATAAAATTAGCTATTTGCTATTGTATTAATAACAAAATGAAATATGTTAATGTTATTAATCCGAATTTTATTCTTATTGAATGAAATATATTTTAATAAATTATTTTTTTGTGTTTTTACAAACTTTAATTATATTATATTTTAACTTGGTAAGTTATTTAATAATAATAAACTATATAAAATTATGATTATTATATCTGTTTTTAAATATATTATATTATGATAACTATAATAATAAAATAATAATTATTATATAAATAATAGTAAATAATATATTATATTTATTATAATAATAAATTATATTTAATAGATATTAAATATTATTTTTCAATATATATATATATATATAAATAAAAATAATATATATATATATAATTTTAATTTTATATTTTTATTTTAAATATAAACATTAGAATCACAAAAAAATATTTAATTAATGTATTAAAATCTTGTTGCAGAGATCTTTAGTAAATTTTTAATAATGGGGGCAGCTGTAAGCAGTGGACAAAACAATGATGAATTAGTTAATAACTTAATGAAATCTGGATATATAAGAACAAGAAAAGTTGAACAAGTTTTTAGAGCTGTTGATAGAGCAGATTATGTTTTACCATCTCACAGAGATAGAGCTTATAATGATCTTGCCTGGAAACATGGCAACATTCATTTATCCGCACCATGCATATATAGCGAGGTGATGGAAAGTCTTTCATTGGAATCAGGATTGAGCTTTTTAAATCTTGGGTCTGGAACTGGTTATCTCAGTACAATGGCAGGACTCATATTGAGTAAGAACACTGCTGCTTTACTAGATCAGTATAGAATATTCGTGATATCTTTATGCCTTTCTTAGACCAACATGGAACAAATCATGGCATTGAGTTGCATGAAGATTGTTTAGAATATGCGTACGAGCGACTTGAAGAATTTAAACAGAAGTCATTAGCACTGGATGAATTTGACTTTTGTGAACCAGTTTTTATACAAGGTGATACATAAAGAATTTATTTATATGTGACTCCTGTGAGAACAAGAAAGAGTCATGTAACTGTACATTTGGCAGGGAATTGTCTGAATGTTGCACCCGGTAGACAATATGACAGAGTATATTGTGGTGCAGCATGTCCTGAAAATTACGAAGGATTTATTAAACAATTTGTATGTATTGGAGGTATTCTCGTGATGCCATTCAAAGATCATTTGCTACGTGTACTTAGAATAGACGAGGATACTTGGTTACACTTTAAAATGCTTCCTGTATCATTTGCAACATTAGTTGTACCTACTACAACGGAGCAAACTTTATTTCACTTACGTACGTATTTTATAATCTTTTCTAACATAAAATAAAAAAAGAATAATATTTTAAATATTAAAACTATATATTTAGTTTCACCAACTTATTAATATATTTATTGTAGCTGAATGTGTGCCGTTATCTTTACAAGAACTATGTAGAGGTAAAATTAGACGTTGTTTGCGATTAAATGTATGGAAAGAGCACGAAGATCTGGAAACGGAAAAAGTGATACTATTAGAACGAAGAAGATTCAATTCCCCCCAACAAACATTAACAAGATTTGTAATTCCTGTATTGGGAGAATCCGATGGATCGATATCGGATGAATCGGTGTCTGACGAAGATGATGAATTTACAAGAAGGGTATGCGTATTGCTTAGCGTGGATGCCGATCCTAGAGATCTATATACAACTTCTCAAGTACGGGCTGTCGTGTTGTGCAATATGAACGAAAATCAAAATTGGCAAGTAGTGAATAACAACGGTAACGTTGACTGGTACAATCAGAATTCCGAAAATTCTACGAACAGTAACAAATCTGTTTCACGGACAGAAGAGGGTAACGATGAACAAACCACTTCGAATCCGACGGAAGAAAAATCTCAAAACAAATCCGAACTACAAAATTTTAACAACGTGAGCGAGACTTATTTAAACTTGCTCAAGCATACTGAAACGTTGTTAAATATAAGCGAAAGTGACAGCGAAACGGAACAGGATGAGACTCTTCCTGTTCAACGTAAAAAAATGGCGAAACGAGAGAAAACGGATAGCGGTATCGTAGAGGATGTAAATTTAAGCAACGAGGATAGCAGCCCTAGATCGAATACCAGTCAATCGGACTCAAAACCTGTTGAATCTCCGGACACCACGAACGCAATGGACGTGGATCCGTCCGACGTTTCCCGTGATCAAGAAGTAATAATCGCTCGTTATGTGAATAGCAATGCCTTTTCTACTTATATGAAAGAGAAAATACAAGAGTTACCATTGCCTTTTTCATCAAAATTGTACCTAAATTATAATCGTAAGCTGTAATATAAGTAAATTACATACGCAAGTCATAATACTCTAATTTAAATAAATAAATGAATAAATAAATATATGTATATTTACACACGTGTGCGTGCGCGCATACATACTTAATATTATGTAATAATTTACATGAAATAATTACTGACTGTTATTTTATTTTATTTTATTTTTTTTTCTTTTTTTTTTTTTTTCAATCCAGAACCTTTACAAATCCTTGAACCGAAGAGATACGATATTCGTGGGAAGAAGATCAGATTGACTTCTAAATGATTGTTGTAATCACTTATCTTGCCTTTTATCTACCATTCTAACCATCTCCACCATTATTCAGAGGTATTCATGATATTCTCCACGAACAGAACACAGATATCATT